TACCGCCACAGCTCGTCGCTGTTGGCTCTTAGCCAGGAGACCCTCAAGGGGTTTCTATTTTGGTTGTCTATCTTTGTCATCGGCGTGCCGTGACATTAGAATAAGACTGACCTTTTACGCCCCTACCAAGTGTCTAACACTGGTAGCCGCGCATTTTTGCCCAGAGATACATCCGCCCAGGGCAGGGCTTTTTCCACACCACTTCCCTCATACACTTCCTCCGCGTCTCTACCGCCTAAGCCGCTTCCTTCCTTCAAAAGGAACAGCGCTGCAGCGACCGGCAAAGCGCCTCAAGTACACAACGGCATCGTTCCGCCCAACGGACGCTACCATCCGTACCAACGCGATCCCCGCCGCACGCACCGCCTAACTCAGGGGAATCTCGTCCAAGCAAAGCCTCCACAAGCCAGCTCACAAGGCATTACAGCCGAGCGTCGCCAACAGGAACGCAAGGTTAGCCTCTGGCTCGAAGGCATCCCAAGAGACGCACTTACCCCGCTCATTCCTATTCCCCCCGCACATCCCTACGCTACATTCCCCGCCATCGACGTCCTTAACTTCGCGCTCTCAAAGAGCTACCATCCTCGCGGGATCCACGAGAATCCCAAAGGCACGCTCCCCGAGAACATTGCGCCAACTGTATACGCTACTATTCAGCGATACAAAGTTTTGCAGCAGCCTCACATCGCGGCCAAGTTCACAGAGGAACAGTTGAAGTGCCGAGATCGAATTCTCCGGCATCTATCTGTTATAAACGAGCGTATTGGAGCAGGGCACGATTTCACATTCGTCGACAGGCGCATCGCTATTAAGCTTTGCGTGGGACTAGGAAAGATTTCCTTCAAGGGAATCAATAAGGAACAGGAGCGCGTAGGCAGAGAGATAGTAAAGTTTGAGAAGGAGTCGTGCTACTGGCCCTACTAGGACCAGTAATATTTTTGTATCACCACTAGTAGTTATATGCCCCGCTATCAAATCGCGTTCGTATACCAGAACTACATCGTGGACTATTATCGCCCGGCGCAGGGACAACTCACAGTCATCTGCACCGCGTATTTCATCTACCAACCTCTCGTCACCAACTGGCAACAAGTACTCTACCACTACACGGTACAAGTACACGGTTATACCACCTACTCGGCACCATTCCGGCTCATTCCTGATTTCGAGGAAGAGCGAGAATACTGGCATTACCGAGCGGAAACTCTACGAGAGGAGCTAGAAGAAGAAGGACTCATCGAGGAAAATTCCGAACCCTTCTAAGGCAGACATCGAGGATCAATTCACACACTGTCCGTCACATCCTTTCCGTTATCCTCCACATCAATCCCCATGTCTCAATATAACCTCGGAGGTGTTTCGTTCCCCGGAGGACACACAATGAGTGAGCCTGCTGACCCCTGGAGGAGTCAGGCCACTTCCACATCATCAGAAGCAGGACCAGCTGCCCCTGTGGATGAACCCCATACTAGCAGCACACCCAAGGCGTCGGGAGTAGTCAGAAACCCGTCGCCCACTACCCTGCCAGCGTTCGCTACGCCCCAGACTTGGGAATGGCAGGGAATTCCTTATGCAACCATCGAGGAAGCCGCCAATGCCGCTGCACCAAACACCATTCCAAACGACGTTAAGGAATGGGTAATGAATGTGGTGCGATCGTTCGTTATGAGAGACGTGGTGAGCTCATACGAGGCCCTACGTCAAAAAATGGATGAACGTCACGAACGCACGGTGGCCTCTTTGGAAGACGAAGTGCTGGCTCGCATCCACCTTGAAATAACGGTAGCAGAAATGCAAGACCAGCTTAAAACTGCCAGAGCACGAGTCGGCGCCCTCTCAGCCGATAACGAAAGGCTTATCAAGGCAAACAATACTCTGACACTCGAAGCCCAAGCAATTCGCAAAGACTTCGAGGATTACAAGGATGAAGTAAAGGGTCAGATGGACGCCCTTTACGGCAACATGGTCGCCCTGAAGGAGGCTCAGGAAAAGACCACTACCTACATCGTTGGCTTAGAGTCTCGACTCAACAATGCCATCATCAATGCGCCCTCCACAGGTATCCTACCACCGGCCGGCCAAACCAGTCAATCGCCCCGACGAATCAAGCTCCCCGATCCTCCCAAGTATTCGGGAAGGAAGTCGTCCGAAAACTTTGAAACGTGGTTCACGAACCTGCTCATCTGGCTCGATTATAACCATTTCACAGACGACAAAGACAAAATTCGGCAAGCCAACGCACATTTGGAAGGTGGAGCTGCTCTATACATGAAAGAGTACGCAATCAAGCTCGCCTCCGGACAAGACGTTGGTACATGGGCAGAATACACCAGGAAACTGGAAATGGCATACAAGACGCTTGACCCCAAGCGCACGGCACAATCCCTGCTAGATGCACACTGCGCAATCCGCCACAAGACGATGATCGCCTTCGCAGAGAATTTCAGGGCTTACGCCCCCGAATCAGGATACTCTGACGAAGATCTAATCGTCAAAATCAGGGAACAACGGTCGACCCATATCCAAACGGTCATGTCGGTAACGGAGACTTTAGATCCCTCCAAGATTCCAACCACATGGATGGATTACCTGGAATTCTGCCTAGAAATTGAAATCAAACATCTCCAGCAGATGACGGGCAACAAGTCTACCGGACAGACCACGGGAACAAAGGCGACCGCTCCTAAGGACCCTAACGCAATGGACACCAGCGCACGAATAGCACACGAACTTTCCCCGGAACAGGACAGGTGGCTGACAAACAAGCTATGCTTGTTTTGCGGAAAGCATGCCTATGAACGAGGAAAGCGGTGTCCCTCCCCCAAGCCTGAATACAAGGGCAAGCGGTTTCAGACACGAGCCGCCCCAAAACAAGGGCAAGCAAAAGGGAAGGGCAAGGCGACAAATGTGCGGCAGGTGGAGGAAGAAAGTAGCGCGGGCTCATCAGCTCAAATTGCGGCATTGGAACAAGCAATTGCTGCACTTCGTGGCATGAGCACCACGACGACTACCCCACCGTCCAGCAAGGGTAAAAGCAAGGCGCGCGGTGCAGACACAGAGTCTGCCATATCAACATCTACGGTCAAGGATACCAACGCGAGAATCGTCGAGATAGACGAGTTCTCTGAGGATTTTCAGTACGAAGTGTAGACGAGTCTGGTGTCACACTTCAGGACAATTGTATTAGTACCGTGAGAACGAATGTACCTAGCGACCAACTATATATTGCATCCGCAGGTTTTTCTAAACATTCGATCGAATTGCCGATAAGATTCGTATCACGGGAAATCCAGACAACGGCACTATTGGATTCTGGAGCATTCTCCTGCTACATCGACCAAAGATTTGCGGAGAAACATGGGTTTAAAATGATACCTCTAAACCATGAAATCCGAATCCTCAACGCAGACGCCAGCCCCAACAAGGGAGGCGCAATTACTCATCGTGTAGTCACAAGCATCTTAATCGGGGGGCACCGATCAACCGAGAGTTTGCTCGTCACAAACCTTGGACGCATGTCAATGATCCTTGGCATGAAATTTCTACAAGAACACAACCCCCGAGTTGACTGGGAACACAGAGAGGTCACGTTCTCAAGATGCAGACACACGCGGAGTCAACGAGTCAAAGTATGCGAAGAAGAAGTCAACCTTCTATCGCAACCTCGGCTCGAAGATGAAGCGATTCTTCCCGACGTACACATAGATGACGGGTGGGATCAGGAAGATAACTTCATCAATTGGATAGACTTGCAAGACCAGGATCTTCGCAACATGGTGCACGACATCCTAGGCATAAGCAAGAAGGTAAAGGAGCATTTGGGAGAACAGCCGGCAGAAGAGACACAGGACAAAGAATATTGGTCCAAATTCGTCCCTCCAGAATTTCATCAATTTGGAGATGTGTTCTCAAAGAAGAGCTCGGAAAGAATGCCGACGCGTAAGCCCTACGATCACGCAATTGATCTTGTCCCAGACGCGGCAACCCCGAGACCGGCAAAAGTATACCCTATGTCCTTACGAGAGAAGAACTCGCTCGATGAATGGATTGATGGCGAACAAGCCAAAGGCTACATTCGACCATCTAAATCCCCCTACGCCGCTCCGGTATTTTTCGTTAAAAAGAAGGATGGATCCCTTAGACTAGTCCAAGACTACAGGGCATTAAACAGTGTCACCAAGAAGAACAAATTCCCACTCCCCCGAATCAATGATCTAATCGACGGACTCTCAAGGGCTAGCATATTCACTACACTAGACCTGAGATGGGGGTACAATAATGTACGCCTTCGCAAGGGAGATGAGGAAAAGGCAGCGTTCATTACCCATAGAGGGTTATTTGAACCCACTGTAATGTACTTCGGATTCTGTAATGCCCCTAGCACTTTCCAGGCCATGATGAACGACGTTTTAGGCGATCTCATTCGCACTGGAAAGGTGTCAGTCTATATAGATGACATCATCATCTTTACGGATAACCAGGAGGAACATGACCGTCTAACCAAAGAAGTCTTACAACGACTCCGAGACAATGACCTGTTCGTGAAACCAGAAAAGTGTCACTTTGCGACCACCTTCGTCAAGTTTCTCGGACTCATAATCTCAAAAGGGTCGATACAGATGGACTCTGAAAAGGTTGACGGCGTGCTCAAATGGCCGGTACCCACCAAGGTAAAGCAAGTACAAGCATTCCTTGGTCTGGCAAATTTCTATCGACGATTCATCAAGGATTTCGGATCGATGACCCGACCCTTGACTCTATTAACCCGTAAGGACGCACAATGGAAATGGGAAGAACCTCAACAAAAGGCATTTGAGGCACTTAAGACTGCATTCACTTCCGCCCCAATTTTAGCGCTCCCCAACGCAATTCGTCCCTTTAGACTAGAGACGGATGCCTCGGACTTTGCCACAGGTGCAGTCCTTGAACAGTTGGGAGAAGATGAACTCTGGCATCCTGTCGCGTATTACTCCAAATCGCTCAATGAACATGAGCGCAATTATGAGATATATGACAAGGAAATGCTAGCCATCATTCGGGCTCTGGAAGAATACCGGCAGTACTTTGAAGGACACCCTCACCCGGTTGAGATATGGTCGGATCACCTCAATCTTACCTATTTCCGACAAGCTCAGACATTGACCAGACGACAAGCTCGCTGGTCACTTTACCTTACACGATTTAACTTTGTTCTCCGTCACCGCCCCGGAAAGACGATGTTGCGTGCCGATCCTCTGTCCAGGAGGCCAGATCATGAGAAGGGGGTGAGCAATGACAATTCAGGGCAAACCTTGCTTCGACCCGAATATTTTGCCATCCACGCGATCTCAGCCACTCATTCCTCCGAAGTTGATGATGCAAAACTTCTAGAAAGAGTGAAATCGGCACTAAAAGACGATGAAATGACCAAAGGTTACCAGCACCTACTAAAAACTGGCAAGCGAGAGTTCGGAAAAGATCTTCAAGAGTGGAACTTTGAGCATGGATTGCTGCTCAGAAGAGGAAAGGTCTACGTTCCAAAGGACTCTACGCTGCGAAATGAGCTGATTAAATTACACCACGACATCTCCACCGCCGGACACGCCGGAAGATGGAAAACGCAAGAATTAATCAGCAGGAATTATTGGTGGCCAGGGCTTACCATTGATGTCAAGAAGTACGTCCAAGGCTGTGTGGCTTGTCAAAGAAACAAGACGAGCAAACAAAAGCCATATGGACTACTACAACCTAATCCAGTACCACAAGGGCCTTGGGAAATAGTCACCTGTGACCTGATTACACAGCTACCACCAAGCCCAGACCATAGGGGAGAAAAGAAGACTGCCATTTTGGTAGTCGTCGACCGATTTACCAAACACGCTCACTACTACGCAGTAGATGACACGGTAACGGCATCTCAAGTAGCGTCGATTTTCTACAATGAAGTATTCAAACTCCATGGAATTCCTAGGCAGATCATATCGGATCGAGGCACCCAGTTCTCAGCCAAACTGTTCCAGGAGTTTTGTCAGAAACTTCACATTAAGTCGACAATGTCTACAGCCTATCACCCGGAAACGGACGGACAGACCGAACGAGTCAATCAGATTCTGGAGCAATACCTGCGCATGTACTGCAACTACCGACAGACTGATTGGGCAACGTTGTTACCCACAGCGGAGTTTGCATACAACAACCAAGCTTCAGAATCGACAGGTCTATCCCCGTTCTTCATAGAGCATGGTCGACACCCCCGCATGGCACCCGACGTATTGGAAGGAATACAACATCCATCCCTGGAACACTTATTCCATAATCGCGACCAAGCACAGGAACAAGCACGAGCCGCTCTGTCATTAGCAGCAGAACGTATGAAATGGTATTTCGATCTTAAAAAACAGGACGTCCCTTTCAAAGTAGGAGACGAAGTGCTTATTCGAGGAAAGGATCTCCATGTAAAAGTCAAAAGCCAGAAGCTTGCGACTCAAAACTACGGACCATTCAAGATCCTTGAAAAGATCGGGACCGTATCGTTCAAACTGCAACTACCAGCGGATATGAAGATACATCCTGTGTTCCACGCTTCAAAGCTAATCATGTTCCATCAAGACTCGATTCCAGGACGCATACCTCCCCCCAACCCTCCAGTCATTATCGACGGAGAGGAAGAATGGGACGTAGAGGACATCCTCGACTCAAGAGTCAGGTATAACAAAACCCAGTATCTCGTCAAGTGGTTGGACTATGACCACAGCGACAATACTTGGGAACCATTGGAAAACCTCACAAATGTCAAAGCCAAAGTAGAGGAATTCCATAAGACACATCCAGACGCTCCAAGAGCCAAACCGCGAACACGCAAAGCGCACAAGATTGCCCTGTCCGATCACCCTGATGAATTCATGTTTTTCTTCCGCCTTCATCCAAATGCCCGAGCACCCTACAAGGGATCTTACGAAGCTGTAGGATGGGATGTTAAGTCAGTACAAGACTTAAACATTCCCCCACATTCCAGAATGCTCGTCGGCACCGGGTTGGCGGTTGACCCCCCAAAATGGACATACATTCGAGTAGCCCCCCGAAGTGGGTTAGCCCTCAAAGGAATTGATGTCGCAGCAGGGGTAGTAGATCCGGATTACACAGGGGAGATAAAGGTTCTGCTGGTAAACACAACCAGCGAGCCATTCGAGGTCAAGACAGGCGACCGTATCGCTCAGTTCATATGCGAACGCTACGCCCCAGGAATCATTTCAGAGGCAGATAGTTCGCTCGCAAAACGAACAATACGTGGCGCCCAAGGCTTTGGCTCATCGGGACGATGAACCTTGAGAAGGGGGTGATGTCACGGTTTTACCTGACAAGTCATTAAAGGAACAAATGCTATTAAGAAGCATATTATTTTTCATCATTTCTCGTCGCACAAGAAGTCACGTGACCTAATGAGATAAGATAACGAGGCATCTAGTCACATGACCTCGGATCTCCCTCGGCATTGTCACGTGACACCGAGCTCCTCGGCATGGCGTCATATGTCGCAATCGCCATAACGCCATATTGCGTGCTCAAGAGGAGCTCCGTCTCCGTGGGTTATTCTTAGGCAGCCAATCAGGGTAATTGGGACACATCGTACGATTGTAGCACCGTCCAGTAGAATAGCGTGTGACTCGCTTATGTAGTACTGTACAGTAGCTAGACAATCATGTATATAAGGACCAGCGAGACGAGGAGGAGACCTCAGTCTTATTCTCCTTCGTCCACCACTACCATCACAGCGGGGTCTTACCAGACACTCGCAGTGTGCTATACATTCAATTACATCCTCACCTGTGTGATAGCGCCCCTAGTCTCGCCAGTAAGTCTTGCTTCGCGAACAACTACAGGGCCTCGTCAGTGGGCACGTCGTACCGCCACAGCTCGTCGCTGTTGGCTCTTAGCCAGGAGACCCTCAAGGGGTTTCTATTTTGGTTGTCTATCTTTGTCATCGGCGTGCCGTGACACTGACGTGGGCGGAGATTGACGAGTGTTTGTATTTGATTTGCGTGGAGGCATGTATACTCCATCGAATACTTGCTTTGTCTTGCGCAACGAGTATAACTCTTGTTCTAAGACACGAATGCGGTCGTCGTCCCCCAAGGCAAAGGTGCTATGCTCCTCAGGGGAGACTTCAAATAAGTTTGTGGCTGAGATCGACGCCTGCGTCTGCGCAGTGGACTGATTTCTCCTATGCCATTCGTAGATTCAGTCACGAATGGTTATACCCGGAATGTTACGTGGGATGAAGGATCCGTTCGGCAAGACCACCTTTCCGGCAGAGTTTCTCATACACTTGCTGGACTTTATGTCCTCCTCTACGTGCTTGCAGGTGCCTATCATGCCCCCTGCTTCGCCGCAATAGTGACAATAGCCCATGCCGTTGCCTCCACTACTCGTAGTTGGCTTTGGTGTTGTGCTAGCTTGTATGCCATTCCCCTTTGGCACAACTCCGGTCGCCACTGCTGTCAACGTTTGCACAGACTTGACTAGGCTCTCAATGAGTAGCGAGATGTCCTCTGTCTTAATCGCAGGTCCTGACTCTGACTTCACTTTGCTGCTACCGGCGACTGCTGGTGAGGGTGAAGTTCCATGAAGCACAAACTTTGCCGCTTCGTAGATCTCGTTGACATCGTATGAATCATCGGGATAGTGGTCCGGCTGCTTTAGCTGAAGTCGCTGTGATATCCGGCTCCATAGGTCTGGTGGGAATCCTCGCGCAAATGCCCGGTTGCGCTCAGACTCCAAAATGCGATGTTTGCCTATGAGGAACGTAGTAATTGCCAAGAATTCACGATGGTAGGCTCCAAGTTCCGCAATGCTATGGATTCCTAGCCTTGCTCACTCCCCAACGAGCATGTCCATATCTCGGACCTCCCACTTGCGCTCCATATCTGTGCCAGGGTACAGTCGCTGTACTGCTACTTTGAGATCTTGGAACGTGTGCTGGACATCTGAATATTCTTCCAGGCTTTCGACAAGGTCTGCTACGTCGATAGTGAGGTATCGGCAAACCCAGTGTTTCCTTTCTGTTTCGTCCGTGATATTGCAACGGGCAAATAAGATTTCCAAATCGTCAAAGAATCGCAGAAGCGTGCACAGACGCTCTGGATCAAATGTAGGGGCTGCGCGATCCCCTCTAAATGGCATCTGGCTGACAGTTGTAATTGTAGCTGCCATCGTGTACTGGGTATGGTGTGTAGGTGGCAACCTTTGAATGTGAGCTTCTGCCTCTTGGATCTCGTCTAGAAGCGAATGTCCTTTGGGGATGAAGTCGTCTAAACCTAAACTTGGTTCTGACGCAATGGACGAAGGCTGATGGATGCTAGAAATGTTCGAGGGTACTGGAGATAGTGGACTTGATTGTCTGGAGTTGGACGGCGCTGGACTGGCTGTCCGAGAGTTTGTCGCTGTGGCTGGAAAGTGTTCCCTCGGATCGTAATCTGCAAGATACTCGCGTCCTTTGTCTGTGCGCTCGAATCCTGTCCTCTGATACTTCTGTAGCCTCCTGAGTCTCTCGTTGAAGGAAGTAAAAACTTCTTCCGACGTTTCGGATATGGCTGCAAGCGTTTGCCAACAACGTCAATGATTTCTAAACCTTCAATTCTTCAAACTCTCATGGTGGGCTCCAGAAATGATGCGTCCGTGGAGCTCCTGGCCTCATGCTACTCCAACACTAATCCGGGGTCCGCTGTGTGGGGTGTATGCAGGGGACGACTTTGGCGAGGGTTTGCTGTGAGCCGGTTTAGTGACTTGAAGCTACTGGCAATAGGGATGGGTAATGGGTTGGTAATGGACTGGGGTAGTGTGCAGGTGTGGCCAACAATTGCAAGATCGGTAAATGATGGTGTGGGCAGCCAATATTGAGCCTTAGGAAAGGAACTAGGGTTGTGTGGTAAGGAAAGGCTGTATTTGGAAGGGGCTCCAAGCGTGGGACCATTGGACTTTATCACAAATGTGTTTTGATCACAGCGAGGTGGAGCGGTGCTGATCGTATACAGTATGGGATGCTGATCGGAGGATGGCGGGGAAGCTCGGTTAAGTCCGATGTGCAAAGATCCTTGAGCCAACTACTATATTTGAGATGAAACCCACAGTCTAAGGCTAGAAATGGCCCGAAGCTGATCGGAAATGCGATATTGTCGCAAGAAGGCGGGTCGGACCTGATCGTATATGCATTTCTGATCGGAGGGCGTCGGAGCACCGATGGCTAAGCCAATGAGAGTGAGGCCTCAGACAGGTTCTGAGGAGTCCTGGGAATGTAGGGCTGAAAGGGGTAACTGAGTGACGTAGCGTGGGAGTGTGATGGAATATCTTCAGTTGCTAGGTGGGCTGGGCCTGATGATGTAATGATGACGAAGTGCGCTGTGATTGGTGCTGGGACTTAGCTGAAACTGCGAGAATGCACCTAGTGA